GTGCTTCCGCTGACGTGCACGGGTTGAAATTGTGGACAAGCAGCATCACTTGCCCCATAACCTCAGCCGTGCAGAACACAATGCCATCCACAGCCTCAGAAACAACTCTGACATCATAATCAATAAGGCTGACAAAGGAGGTGCTGTTGTCATCATGAATAGGTCGGAATATGAACAAGAGGCTGCTCGGCAGCTCTCCAGCACGACTTTCTACAAGCCATTACCCTCTGATCCCACTGAGGGTTACCAAAAGAAACTACAGCATTTGCTCAAGAAACTCCCTGAAAAAGCACAAGATCAAATCCGCACAGATACACCCCTGGAACCCCGACCTGGGATATTCTGTCTACTACCCAAGATCCATAAACCTGGAAACCCTGGACGCCCCATCATCTCAGGCATTGGCACCCTGACAGCAGGATTGTCTGGCTATGTAAACTCCCTCCTCAGGCCCTACGCTACCAGCACTCCCAGCTACCTTCAAGACACCACTGACTTCCTGAGGAAACTACAATCCATTGGTGATCTTCCTGATAACACCATCCTGGCCACTATGGATGTAGAAGCCCTCTACACCAACATTCCACACAAAGATGGACTACAAGCTGTCAGGAACACTATCCCCGATAATGTCACGGCAAACCTAGTAGCTGAACTTTGTGACTTTGTCCTCACCCATAACTATTTTACATTTGGGGACAATGTATACCTTCAAATCAGCGGCACTGCTATCGGTACCCGCATGGCCCCACAGTATGCCAACATTTTTATGGGTGACTTAGAACAACGCTTCCTCAGCTCTCGTCTCCTAACGCCACTACTCTACTTGCTCTGTATTGATGACATCTTCATCATCTGGACCCATGGAAAAGAAGCCCTTGAGGAATTCCACCATGATTTCAACAATTTCCATTCCACCATCAACCTCAGCCTGGTCCAGTCCACACAAGAGATCCACTTCCTGGACACTACAGTGCTAATAAACGATGGTCACATAAACACCACCTATACCAGAAACCTACTGACCGCTATTCCTACCTACATGCCTCCAGCTTTCACCCTGACCACACCACATGATCCATTGTCTACAGCAAAGCTCTAAGATACAACCGCATTTGCTCCAACCCCTCAGACAGAGACAAACACCTACAAGATTTCTATCAAGCATTCTTACAACTACAATACCCACCTGCTGAAGTGAAGAAACAGATTGATAGAGCCAGAAGAGTTTCCAGAAGTCACCTACTACAGGACAGGCCTAACAAAGAAAATAACAGAACGCCACTAGCTGTCACCTTCAGCCCCCAACTAAAACCCCTCCAATGCATTATCAAGGATCTACAACCTATCCTGAAGAATGACCCAACACTCTCACAGATCTTGGGAGACAGGCCAGTCCTTGCCTACAGACAGCCCTCCAACCTGAAGCGAATACTCACCAGCAACCACATACCACACAACAGAACCACTAACCCAGGAACCTATCCTTGCAACAAAGCCCGTTGCCAACTGTGCCCACATATCTATTCAGGGGACACCATCACAGGGCGTAATAACAGCAGCCACACTATCAGAGGCTCGTTCACCTGCACATCTACCAATGTGGTGCATGCCATCATGTGCCAGCAATGCCCCTCTGCCATGTACATTGGTCAAACTGGACAGTCTCTGCGTAAAAGAATAAATGGACACAAATCAGATGTCAAGAATTATACCATTCATAAACCAGTCGGAGAACACTTCAATCTCTCTGGTCACGCAATTACAGACATGAAAGTTGCGATATTACAAAAGAAAAACTTCAAAACCAGACTTCAGCGAGAGACTGCTGAATTGGAATTCATTTGCAAATTGGATACAATTTACTTAGGCTTGAATAGAGACTGGGAGTGGCTAAGTCATTATGGAAGGCAACCTATTTCCCCGTGTTTCCTCCCGCCCCTCCCCCCCCCCGTTCCTCAGACGTTCTTGTTAAACCCTGGATTTGTGCTGGAAATGGCCCATCTTGATTATCATACAGATTGTAAGGAGAGTGATCACTTTAGATAAGCTATTACCATCAGGAGAGTGGGTTTGGGGGGTGGGGGTGGGGGTGGGGAGGAAAACCTGGATTTGTGCTGGAAATGGCCCACCTTGATTATCATACACATTGTAAGGAGAGTGATCACTTTAGATAAGCTATTACCAGCAGGAGAGTGGGGTGGGGGGAGAGAATACCTTTTGTAGTGATAAGCACCCATTTTTTCATGGTTTGTGTGTATAAAAACATCTTCTGTATTTTCCACAGTGTGCATCCGATGAAGTGAGCTGTAGCTCACGAAAGCTTATGCTCAAATAAATTGGTTAGTCTCTAAGGTGCCACAAGTACTCCTGTTCTTTTTGCGAATACAGACTAACACGGCTGTTACTCTGATAGCTGCCTTTCCACCCTTCTGACCCCATAGAGCTAGCAATTCAAAAACCTTTTAATTTGGCCAATCAAGGCCAAGGCCCATGGAGGTGGAAACATCTCCGACTCTGACTGCCATTAAATCTGCCATTCCCTATGTCTGTTGTGGGCCTTTCTATGTACAAGCTAGATGACTTCCTGCAGACTTAGTCTCCATTCACCAGGGCTCAGGCTTGTTATAGTACATAGCAAAGAGGTTGCATCCCTTCTTTATGTCCAAAACTCTTTGATTTCTGATAGGCACTCTGACATCTTGTAATGGTGGTGGTTGCATTAGTTGTGAATGAGATACATGGAGTCCTCGGACTTCGGACACAATTTGTTCCTCAGAATTGCATTGTAAGTCGAAAGGTTGTAAGTTGAAACTGCTTTTCCCATAGGAACGAATGGTATAAAGGGGAGATTGTTTCCTGAACCAAGGCTTGATACAACTATTTGCACTACAATAACCCAGATTTTTTTACTAAATGAATTATAGATGACTAATGTTGCAACATCAATGTATTTACTGTACACTGTATTTGTAAACAGCTTTCAAATAAAAATATAAACTCACATATGCTGCACAGAATGCCAGCCACACAGGCTCAGAAAGCCAGGGAGAATGGCACATATGCTGAGCCTCAGCCAATCACTGTTCATGCTTTCTGATTGGCTGCGCCTGGGGCTGGGAGTCAATCAAAAACAAGCAGCAACCCTACCTGGCAACAAGCTACTCTGCTGCCTCAGAGCCAATCAGAAGTGACCCCTTCCATCTCCATACCAGTATAACGCAACGAGGAAGTGATTTCAAGCAAACTTATGCACATCGAGTGTCGTAAGGGCAAAACAAGTGTTGTAGGGGTGAAACAGGTAGTCAGTTGAAAAGTGTCGTAAGTGGCGTCCGAGGACTCCCTGTATATAGTTGAGAGTCACTGGTATATTGTTGGCAGGTGAGCCCATGGTAGCTCTTTGTCTCTCCTAGTGGTCTCAGGTAGATACTGAGAAGAAGAGGGGATAGTATAGAGCACTATGGGGTACCACAGGCAAGGGTCTTTATAGAGGAGGAACAGTTACCCATCTGCACTATGGGCTTTGCTGGAGAGGAATGATAGGAACAGCTTCAGTGATGGGCCATCAGTTCTGGTCTGTCATGTAGGTAGGTTAGCAGTATCTAGTGGTCTAATGTATCAAAAGCTGCAGAGAGGTCCAGCAGCATAATCATGGAGATCCTGTCACTGCCCATGGCTGTAAGAACTGGTCATCTTTTAGTGCAGCTATAGCTCTCTCTGTTCTGTGCCCTGATTTGAACTCTGACTGTGAGGTATCCAGGAAGTTGGCTGATGTCACATGTTGGTGTTTAGTGGTTATGACTTGCTCAGTTTTTTTGCCCAGGAATAGAAGGTTGGAGATGTAACTTCAGAAATGTTAAGGTAGAATAACTTCCCGAATGTATGGAATGTGTGACTGTCAGATGTGCCAAAATGTTGGTGCAAGAGCATCTGGCAGGTTCCTGTTAAGGTTTTGCACTAAAGTGTGAATTTGATGAAGCTGCTTCTCAATATCTGTTGGAGGTGGAAATGAAAGCCTTATGTAGTGTTGGAATGTGTTATTGTCAGTGTTGTAGGCAATGTGACAGTGGCAAGGAATGTAGGAGACTTGTCCCTTAACTTATTTCCGTGCTTTTCAGTTTTTGAGTTGGTGAATGTGTCCTGATACAACCCTAACTGTCAATTAATTTTTGTTTGTTTATACTTCTCTTCTTCCTTTCAACTTTTTTGTTCTAAACAGCAACAGGTATATCAATGAAGCCTTCTGTGATAATATGCCAGTAGATGCCAACAAGCAGGATTCTGCACACATCACAATACTAATATATGTGATAGAACATCTTTCCATAGACTTTACACTATGTTTCAAAATACAGTACAGTATTTATAAGTGACCTTTTCAAAGATACCAGGTGATGCGAACTGATGAACTCATTAAACAGCTACTGTGCATACTTGATACAAGAACAAAACTAAATCCTGAAATTTTGACTCAGTTTTAACTCCCCTTCAGTGAGAGTTGTGCTTGAATAAGAGCAGAATAAAAACTAAGTAAAGCCTTCAGGAGTTAAATGAAAAAGCTTAGTAGTGCACAGAAAAGAAATACTCATGGGTAGTCACAAAAAATGGTATAAAGTGCGCTCTTTTTAGATATTACACTGTAGTGTATATATTGAAAGAAACACTACATTATACTTTTTCTCAGTTCCTCACATGAAAATCATTGGGGGGGAGGGGAGGGAAGTGCTCCAGGTGATCAAAATTAATTTTGATCAGTTAAAGATTTACACCTATGGAATTTTAATGGTGAGGAGAACTAATAGGTTGTAGCTGATACATTAATACCCTGTAGAAAGCTGTGAGCTGTTCATGTGACGATGATATTGTGACTTTATGTACCCTTTCTTCAGTGGGGTTTAATTTTGAATTCCAAAAATGTGAGATGTAGTTTTCCTGATAGTTAAATGGAATGTTTTGAGGGGTCTTAGTATTAAATTTTGTTGATTTTTTGTGTCTTGCAGGATTTTTGGCACATGGAGGAAGGCGATCATCACTTAGAAATTTAACTCAATTCCAGATTTCAAGGTAGGAGGGCTCCTGCTTCCCCCATCTTCTTTATTAAATCAGTGAGACGGTTCCTTCAAGTAGAATGGAAATTCTGTAATTTTTCATGTTCATATCTGTGCTATTCTTTTATTAGTTGAGGTGTAATACAGTAGGTGATACAGTCTTCCTTTATCAGTTTTATAATTCTTTTGACCTGATTGTTTCATGCCACTTTTCCAAATCTGTCTTCCTTATTAATGTCTGAGTTTCATTTGTCTTATTTATTAGAGATAAGTGGCATAAAAATTGAGTTAAATAAAAATTGAATCATGCAGAGTTCTAAACTCTTCCTCTGGTTGTAAATATCAACATGCTTGTTTTTAGTTACTGATTAATATAATTAAGATTAATTTTATAATAAAATTTACACAAAAGTAGTATAATACCTTACTACCTATACTGAAAGCTTCCTCCAGTTTGTGCTGTGTCCATAGCAGCAGGCAGCCCAGTCACATCTCCCTGTTGCAGAGCTTTTCTGAGGAAAATTCCAAACTTTATTACAGAATATTAGACTAACAGTTTGGCTTAATAATTGGTGTATTTAATTCCCAGCCATGTCTCAGGGCATTTGATGTTTTGGAGAGATTATCCTCTCAGTTCTGCTTTCTTTTCTGACGTGTTTGCAGTGACTGGTGCCCCTGCAGGCTTCAGAGAGACATAGGATGAGAAAAGTCAGAGGCAAAAGGGAAGATCTGGGTTCAGTGGGGATCTCAGCCGGCTGTGTAGGTGGGAAAAGGACTCTTTCACAACCCAATCCAGGTGGGATTACATCAACCCCCCCTTCCCAGGGTAGGTAAACAGCCACTCAGGATTGGAGAGGCCATCTTGACAGTGCAAGAAGCAGCTTTGGCAGTAAGTAAGGGGCCTTCAGATATAGCTCCTTTCCCCTGTTGCCACCTCTATAAAAGGCCTGCTCACCCCCCAGGATCTGTACTTACATCCCAGGCCGAGACCGAAGTATATCGGGATCAAAAGGAACCCTGACAATGTTATTGGTCCATTAGTAGGTGGAAATGGTAGAATCTTTCATGATAATTCAGAAAAGGCAGAAGTGTTCAATAAATATTTGTGTTCAGTATTTGTAACAAAGCCAGACAATATATTCAAATCATGTGATGATGATGATGATGAAATACTTCCCACTTTTCAAACAGTGACATATATTAGATAGCAGCTATTAAAGTTAGACATTCTTAAATCAGAAGGTCTGGATAATTTGCATTCAGAAGTTTTAAAAGATATGGTCAAAGAGCTCTCTGGATTGTTGATGTTGATTTTTAATACCTCTGTTCCAGAGTGCTGGAAGTTCCAGAGTACTGGAAGAAAGCTAATGATGTGCCAGTATTTGACAAGGCTAAATGAGATGATCCAAGTACTGATAGGCCTATTCAGCCTGACATTGATCCTGGGCAGAATAATGGAACAGCTGATACAAGACTCAATTAATAAAGAATTAAAGGAGGGTGATATAATTAATACTAATGAACATGGGTTTTGGAAAATAGGTCTTGTCAAAATAACTTGGTATCATTTGGATGAGACTATGGGTTTAGATAAGAAGGTAAGAGTGTTAGTGTAATATACGTAAAATTCTGTAAGGCAGTTGACTTAGCTCTTCACGACATTTTGATTAAATAACTAGAATGATACAAAATTAACTTGGCACATATTAAGTGGTTTAAAAATGGCTAACTAATAAGTCTTAAAATGTAATTTAATTGGGAATACCCATTGAGTGGGTATGTTTCTCATGGTGTCCCACAAGGATCTGTTCCTTATGCTATTTAATATTTTTATCCATGGCCTGGAAGAAAACACAAATCATTATTGCTGAAGTTTGCAGGTGGCACAAAGATTGGGGGAGTGATAAATAATGAAGAGTACAGGTAATGGATAGGGCAATCTGGATTGCTTAGTGAGCTGGGCATTGTCCAGCAATGTTTCAGTATGGTCCAATGTAAATGTATAAATCGAGGAACAAAGAAAAAAGGCTATATTTAAAGGATGGGAGACTCTATCCTGGGAAGCAGTGAGTCTGAAAAAGACTTGGACCTGGTGAATAATCTGCTGAACACGAATTTCCAAAGCAATGCCATAGCTAAACAGGCTAATGCTATCCTCAGATGTATAAATAGGGGGATATTGAGTTGGAGGAGAGAGGCTATATTTGGCACTGGTATGACTGCTACTGGAATATTGTGTCCAGTTCTGGTGTCCTTGCTTCACAGAGGATGTTGATGAACTGGAGAGGTTTCAGAGAAAAGCAACAAGACGATTAAAGGTTTGGGAAACGTGCCTTATAGTGGTAGACTCAAGGAGCTCAATCTTTTAAGCTTATCACAGAAGAAGATTATGGGGTGGCTTGGCCATGGTGTCCTGGGGACTGCAGCCAGGGCCATGTGCCCCAGCTCTGCGGCGTCCCGGACTTGGCAGAGGCCGTGCACCACAGCCCTGTGGCATCCCGGGCTTGGCAGGGGCTGTGCGCCCCAGCCCCGCAGCTTCACTGGAGGCTGCAGCTGGGGCTGCATGCCCTCCTTGCAGCTTCCCAGGGCCGTCTGCAACCCCCACACCCTGCTGCGGCTGGGGTTTGGCCGGGGCTACAGTCGGGTCATGCACCCCTGTCCTGAAGCTGGGCCAGCTCTGTAGCAAGGGCTGTGTCCCCTATGGCTGCGATCCTCACTGCGGCCACCGGAGTCGGGGCTGTGTCCCCCGCACCCCCATGGGACTCCATTTCTCCCCCTACCTAGCCCTGCCCCAGTTATTTTTAGTAAAGTAACGGACAAGTCACAGGCTCTGTGATTTTTTGTTTATTGCCTGTGACCTATTCATGACTTTTACTAAAAAATATCTGTGAAAAAACCTTTGCCTTATTCATGTGTACCAATTGCTGGTGCATGAAGTTTTCCTTGTCAGTATCTGGAATTAAACATACCCCACAAGTCCATCCCATTCTTCAATCAGCACCATGCCCCTATTTAAAATAATTTAAGAAATTAATATACAGAAGTTTTTGTTGTGAAGCAGAGTCACTGCAAACATAACATACCTGTCTTAAACCCAGAAAAATAAGAAAATTAAATATGCTCTAAGAAGATCAGTCTTCCATCAACCCCTTTACCAAACTTTTCTCAGCACAACATACTATTATACCAAAAGTCCACAAATAATAATGTTAGCAGAAGGTAGTTTGGTAAAGGGGTATGTGGAGAAGAGAAGGTTGCAGGGGTAGAGTTAAAGTTGAAGTAAATGATCTGTGGTGTATAGTAATTGTGTTAATGGTAAGGTATATGTCTGTGGGTAAGGAGAAAAAGTTGCTTAACTTTTCATTTGCTTCCTCTTGAGCTTGAGTCAGGTATGTTATGTTTTTAGCAACCCTAGTTGCTTCACAAGGAAGTTTGTGTTTCTGAAGTAGGTTGTGTTAAGGGGAGAGTATTTTAATGCAGGCTACATTGATTTTAGTATGAGATTTTTAGAAAAAAACATTTAACCATTCATAGTGTAATGTGTAGTATGGGTCTAAATGTAAATGTATAGTTCAGGTTCAATTGATAAAATAATTATTTCATTTTCATTGAATAGTTTTTCTTCATCCGTAATTGGACAAAGTGCAATTTAATAATTTATCAGTTAGGGAGACTATATCCAAGTGGATGTATCCCTGCCTTGGAGTGCTGGCTTCATTCCAGTACCAATACCTGCTATTTTTCATGCATACGTTGTTGTCAATTGAACACTTTAACAGACCAATTGCTGTCCAAGTTATGATGTCATACTTTTTTTTTTTTTAACAGAAGTTAAGCGGTAAAAGAAACTGCATACCCTTTGCCCATTCATCCCATAGGGAGATAGCTAAAATGTGGAATAAATACTCAGATTCATTGGTTTGCTAAGGTAAAATGGACTTTAATTCATAGAATCATAGAATATCAGGGTTGGAAGGGACCTCACGAGGTCATCTAGTCCAACCCCCTGCTCAAAGCAGGACCAATCCCCAACTAAATCATCCCAGCCAGGGCTTTGTCAAGCCTGACCTTAAAAACTTCTAAGGAAGGGGATTCCACCACCTCCCTAGGTAACGCATTCCAGTGTTTCACCATGCTCCTAGTGAAAAAGTTTTTCCTAATATCCAACCTAAAGCTCCCCCACTGCAACTTGAGACCATTACTCCTTGTCCTGTCATCTGCTATCACTGAGAATTGTCTAGATCCATCCTCTTTGGATCCACCCTTCAGGTAGTTAAAAGCAGCTATCAAATCCCCCCTCATTCTTCTCTTCCGCAGAATAAACAATCCCAGTTCCCTCAGCCTCTTCTCATAAGTCATGTGTTCCAGCCCCCTAATCATTTTTGTTGCCCTCCACTGGACTCTCTGCAATTTATCCACATCCTTCTTGTAGTGTGGGGCCCAAAACTGGACACAGTACTACAGATGAGGCCTCAAAAATTTGAATAGAGGGGAATGATCACGTCCCTCGATCTGCTGGCAATGCCCCTACTTATACACCCCAAAATGCCATTGGCCTTCTTGGCAACAAGGGCACGCTGTTGACTCATATCCAGCTTCTCATCCACTGTAACCCCTAGGTCCTTCTCTGCAGAACTGCTGCCTAGCCATTCGGTCCCTCGTCTGTAGCGGTACATTGGATTCTTCCGTCCTAAGTGCAGGATTCTGCACTCGTCCTTGTTGAACCTTATCAGATTTCTTTTGGCCCAATCCTCCAATTTGTCTAGGTCCCTCTGTATCCTATCCCTACCCTCCAGCGTATCCACCTCTCCTCCCAGTTTAGTGTCATCCGCAAACTTGCTGAGGGTGCAATCCACACCATCCTCCAGATCATTAATGAAGATATTGAACAAAACCAGCCCCAGGACCGACCCTTGGGGCACTCCGCTAGATACTGGCTGTCAACTAGAAATGGAGACATTGATCACTACCCGTTGAGCCCAACAATCTAGCCAACTTTCTACCCACCTTGTAGTG